TTAAATCTAAAACCATAAATCTTACATACCAATCTACCACTTGTCTTTCATAGAATATTATAAAGGATTAGTGCAGCTATATCAAGAGTTTAAAGCCGATTAATGAAACGTGTCTTTTTTCTTTTAGAACTTCTTTTAAAATGGCTCTTTATTATTTCAAGATTTATTTAATTTTTTTTTTTGTGAGGGGAAGAGCTTTGATATTTTCCCACACGTAGTTTGGGATGATACTGTTGTTTATTCATTTACAGGTTATCTTTGTTTTTTTTTCCTTTGGATTGCATTTAAACATTTTTAAGATTCAATAGGCATTCTGATACCAGACAATATCATCAGCAAGTGTATCAGAAACTGGCTTGCTTGAATCAGAGTGTGTGTCTAGTCAGTGTGAGATGATAGAACCACTTTGTAATGAGGGTTTGCTAGTGATTGAATCCATGTGTCCTTTTTCCAGTTCTTTTTCTTTACTTCTAAGTATAATTTTGACACTCATTCACTGTTTCCATGAATAAGACAATTTGTATACAAATTAGCCAATTCCTCCAAAAATCCTTATGTGTAACATTGCATAAAAAGGAGAAAGAAGCAAGAGTACAAGGACTTTCTTCACACAGTTTATATCATATGCTATACATTTTTTTTATTTGAATATGCTCAACAATCATCTGATATCCCTTAAAAGCAATCCTTATTCCAAATATGATTCTATTGCTGATATATCTGTGTCATCTGCAGCTATGTTGTTTAAGCAGGAAGAAAATTGCTTTAAGGAGAATTTTATTAAATACTGAGACTAGAAAATTCTTAGGTTTTCAAGATTTTTCCTTTTCTATGGCAAAATGATAGGGGTGATAGTAAAAGGAAAAATCTGTTGCAACAAGACAAATGTTTCTTACAATGTTTATAAAAATATTAGAAAGACTGGTTTGGATTTTGAAACACAAACTATGTTAATGGTACAGTTTCTGACTTAGAGAAGGAAGCTCAGTTCTGGGAGCCATAAACCTGCAATGAATTTGAGCCTTGTTGGGTCTGTGGATAAAAGAAAGTTAGCATTTACCAGATGACTTAGTCATAAATAAACATTTCGGTTAGAAAGTTTAAAAGGGAAGGGCTGACAAATACAAAACCAGTGTCTGGTCTGTAAGCAGAGCACAGGCAAGGCAAAGGAGTGGAGCTCACACTGGAAATTTATCTGAGAATGCCCTTGTCTTTGAATGCTTGAAGAAATTTCCGTAGTGGTGACTTGTTTCCTCGGGCCTCCTTTAGTATATTTTGTTACTTTGTATTCATTGCAACCTAACCCAGAGAAAATACTGGACTTTTACACATGAGGAAACTTAAACTCAGTTTGCACATGCACTGTTAGTGTCCACAGGTTGTTTGCAAGTACGGTGGCTGTGAAATGCTACTGATTGAAAATTTCAAGTATTGGCCTTGTAGGATTCTTTTCCACACAATTTTGACAAGTAACCTCCCCATGATGTTGTTGTTATGCTCTAAATATATTCTCAAATCTTTTCTAGAGCCCTCAAATTTTGATAAGTATGTTGAGCTTTCACAGTAGGAAAACACATTCAGCACTTTGCTCAGATATTTTGTCTACAATATTGGAAGTATTTTTCAAAGGGCGTGTGAGCCCTGAATGTGATGGCTATTATTATTATTATTATTATTATTATTATTATTATTATTATTATTATTATTATTATTATTATTATTATTATTATTATTGTATGTGGTCTTATCAGTAGGGAAAGAGAAATTACACTGTTTTTCAGATTTGGATCCTTTTGACCTCTTTTATTAATCTGTAGCTCACTTCCTGGTATTAATTATAGTCAGAACTTAATGAACATCTTTTCAAATTATGTACTTGTTGTAATGGGAGCTGATCTAATAATTTCTTGTTGATAAATATAGGCGAAGCACAAGTGCTGAAACAAGGAAATATTGTTAGAGAGAGGTTCCTGTAACAAAGTTTCAATGGGAAATTACTCTAAATAATGTTGTTAAGGCTTGATTTCTTTATAAAAGAAGCAGCCAGCCATTACAAATTATTTTCGAGTTCTAATGGTTTTGTACATACAATTGGAAGAAAGAAACAGAATTTTCTTTGTGCTTTTTCCATTTATGTTTAGCCTTGTAGGTTTACCGAAACTGGAATTGAAGAAAATATACTTTTAGCGATTTTTATGACCTGTTCCTGAACTGGATGCTTCTTATACACATTGTAGCATGGCTGGCTTTAAACAAGCTTTTCATCTTCTTTATGGTGTTTGTGAAGAATACTGCACTTAGCTGACAGTATAATAAAAGCATTTTTGTGTGTGTATTTCACCAAACTTTCTTTTTTGTAATCGTGCAGTAGCTATTTCCTAGCCTATTCTTTAACTGTAGCAGTGTGATCATCCATACATCTATGAAATGTTCCTCAGAAGATTCGGCTAAGGAAGAATACACAGAGCTGAAAAGGATAAGCTGACTTCTAACAAGGATCTTTTCTTCATAGGAAAGCAGTTATGTGTCTGTAGATTTGATATACCAAACTAACATCCTTCACTCTTCTGGTACTTGGAGAAGGGTGTTTAGTCATCCCTATAATTTAAAGTGAGAAGACACATTTACTTACTTTCTGCCTTAATTCTCATGATTTCCTAGATTTATCTTTTAAATCATCAGTCCAACCATTTTTTGTCCTAAAATAAAATGACCTTTCTGTCTGGAGAGGGAGGAGTGAAGGTAGAAGCTGCAAAATGCCATTAAAGAACTGAAAAGTCAAGCTTGTACTTGTGGAGTGTTGGGGAAGTTCAGATGGTGCCTGTCTCCCAGATGATTCAAGTTTTCCATAGCTACTGAATTTTGCAGTCTTTGTAGTAATAAAATCCCCACTTTGATAATTGTCTTTTTTTTTCTATAAGATAGTATCCTGAAGAATCAAGATACAGTATTAAATCCCTACATGTTGTTAGTTATTTAAAATGCAGGGCAGAAGAATGGAACTTTTTTTTTCAAAGTCTTTATTTGCCAATTTCTGTGGGAGAGAAGAATGCAGCATTAGGTGACTGTCCTTGGTATAATTCCCCTTGAAGCCAAAGCCTGATGAGTATTTCACTGAACAGAGTTTCCCATGTTCAGCTCAATATTGGGCATTCTGTTTCAGCTTCAGTTAGTTGTGGTTAGTTCCTAACCACTACAGGCAGTTTCTTTGTCTGGGAAAGTGTCCCATCTTAATACAGAACAACACTACAGCATTGGGCAAAAGGTTTTCAGTGGAGCTCTAAAATTTTGTCATATCCATTTCGAGCATCTGGTGTGGTGCTCTTTTCTGGGTATAAGTCCAATGTTCTTTAAATTCTGCGAAATTTGGTGACCAAAATTTAGGTCCACAAAATTGCTAGTTACTCCTAACACTATTGCCCATTTCCTATGCCTAACTTTGTCTAGATTGGCTTCACTGGCTTTACTCATGCACTGTATTTGGTGGAAATCCAATATAAAATGTTGACATGATCAATGATAGTAGGAATTGGGACCAGGACACCTTTCTTTCCCACCCTTGTTTGGTGTGAAGCTGCATCTCATCCTGGTTGCTGTGCTCTATGTCCAATGTAGTTGCTACCAAGTTTCTCCCATGCAGGATACAGGTTCACCAAGAGGTGGAGAGTGTGCAATTGTCATGTGGCATGGTGGTTAAAGCATAATCCTCAAGGGTGGGAACAAAAGCGTTCTCTTTTCAAAAATTAAGAACCTCCTGAGTGCTTTTAAAAAGGAAGGCCAAGTGGAGGAGACCCTTTCCATGTCCTAATCTTTGTAAAATTTATTTATTCTCTGACTTTTTTACTCAATGTAGGAGAGGAAATCTGTAAATGAGTGCCTTTCCTCTGAACTCTAGTGGTAGATTTGAGCAGTGAAGCTACTATTTGTTTAATGAAATCTCCTACCACAATTGTATTTTAAAGGTCCATTAATCCTCTGAATTAAAGGAAATATTATTCATAGAATTGTTGTTATTTTTATTAGTTAGGCCTTTTAAATAGTAGAAAACCACCCATGGTTCTGTACATTAGCTATAGAAGTATTGGGACAGACAGAACAGTTAAATTAAAGAAGTGAAGACTTCTGTGGAGGAATACCAGCAGCATGTCATATGTGGGCAGCCACCATTAATCTCTGCCTCAGCAAAGCCTGATACTGACTAGTGTTGTCAATACCTTTCAAATATAAAAATTCCACAGATTTTCCTACATGGTTTTATTATTATTATTTTTCCGGAAAAAGGAAGTAGAGCTAAGTTCCAACAAGCTACAGAACATATTATGCAACCCAGTGAAAGCCAAGTAATTTGTAATAACATTTTTCATATTTTTAAAAGCTGCATAAACAGTAATAAAGTGTTGGCATATTGACCAGCGTGTTGCAATTATTGGAAGCCAAGGTGTTACAGATCTTCAAAAGCATGCCTGTGAAGTCCAGTAGGTATGAATAGAGTACAGTGTGATCTCATATCATCATGCAAGCAAACAGTCAATTCCGATTCTCATCTCTTAGGCAACAATTTGAGAAGAAAATAAAAGAAATGAGAAAGATTTTATTCACTATACATGCCAATTGGAGTATTTAACCATAATTTAAGGTTTGAAGAAACCAATGGAAAAAGAAGATTGTGTTATGGCTCAAGCTTAACAACACACATAGTGTCATACTCTGCTTTGCTGAGTGTTGAGCTCTCTAGTTCACTTTTTCCAAAACCATCAAATGCCTACCAGAGTGGTATTTCTGCTGTGACGCTCATCTGCTGTTCTTGTCTCTTTCCTTTTCTGAGTGCAATATTGCTGTTAATTGTTTAATTTCTGTTTGTCAGTATAAATGCTCGCTCATTATAAATATGCTCTGCTGACAAATTAGGTCATATGGCAAACACTTTTATTTTGGTTATTGAAAATGTAAAATACCAACAAAATATATCCTTTACTGTGCTTATTTTTCAACTTTGTTAGATATCACAAGGAGCATCCCTGAATGATTTAAGGAAAAAGAAGAGGCGTGCCCCTCTTCCACCAACTGCGTCTGCTCCACCCACTCCTGCCATACCTAACAGGACAGAAGATAGGGAAGACAAGAGGAAGAGCACAATGGGTGAGAGGCATTCTTTTCTCCTGAATAACCCTATTCATGTGCTTTTAATCCTCACTGTTTGAAGTTGCCTTAATTCTGTTATGCTGTGAGTTTGGAAACTTTTGTAACTTGGGGAAAAAACTACATTTCTCTGCAGAATGAAAGTCTGGAAATAAGTGTTTGTAAATTAGCTCTTTTTGCTTTTTTTAATGGCACCATTCAGAGTACCACAGGGTAGTAAAATGTACATAACACTCATCAGATGATTTGAATATTTGGCAAAAACTTTATACACAAAAGCACTAGACCTGGCCTATTCTGTGCCTTGAAGGTCATGACTGGTTTGCCAGTAACTGGACATACAGAAATAGTAAATGGAAATGCTAATAAATGGAGACAGGCCAGGAAGTACTGAATGCATCTGAAGCCATGAAGTTCTACTAGAACCCAAGTACAGTCAACTTGGTTCAGTGTTTACTCATGTTTCTAAAGCCTGGAGACATTTGATTTTCATGTAGTCCTCCAACAGTTTGACATCAACTGCCTAAATAAAGTAAAGATTTTTTTTTTTTTATTTCATCCTCACTTTTATTTTTAATCAATATCTGATGATTCTTTAGCTAGTCAGTACAAGAAGAGACCTGATGCTCTCAAAGCAATGCCATATATACCTAGACTCAACAAAAGAAACTGTAGCTTCAGCTGCATGTGGCACCACATTTACTCACACAGGAAAACTGAAAAACATTCTCCCAGACCTGTGCTGCTATCTGCCTGGTAGCTTGTTCAGATTGGTGAGAGCTTTGCCTGAGTGAGGACACCAGGATGATGCTTCTAGCGAGCAAAGTGATTTTATAATGGATCAAGTTATGAGATAATGACCCCACATATTGGAACTCATTTTTCAGTACATTAAGAGAATCATTCTTCAAGTGCCATAATGCACTTCAGTTCATGCCTTTGACCTCATGTTTCATAAAATGTTGAAGACATACAGATATGACATTCTGTCATACATAATTGCTTACATTACAAATGCCTCACAGTTTAGAAAGAAACCTCTTGGCTTTGTTCCAACATTTATTTTCAGTAAATGCTTCACATTTAATGCCTCAGCATTTATGTAGCAGCAGGAGTCCATTATCATGTGACACGTTTGACTCCACTGACATCTCTTATTTAAACTCTTTAAGGGCAGTGTTATTGCTGGGCCATATAACACAGGAGTTTTCAACAAATTGGCTTACTTTTAATCACTACAGATGTCACACTCTACTGCTTCTCATGCTTTGCCCTACTACTGGTCACTTTTTGATGACATTTGTTGCTTTAACTTTTTGTAAGTGGTTTGTTTTTTGTTTTTTTTTTTAATATTCTCAAATGTTACAGATGAGATAGAGCAGAGCTACTTCTAGTCTGTTCAGAACTGTGCACCTAAGTGCTTGCTAGCCAGACTCTGCTCATGTAGGATTCTGTAGTATCATTTGCTTTAATGGAGCCTTATTATTTTACACTGACAAAGACCTCGTCCCACAGTAGCCTTGTCTTCAGTGCTTTTTGTTTTCTGCTACTTTCTTGAATGAATGTGTTCATTAACAAGAAAAAATGTTACAGCCGGAGAGGGTTGGTAAAACAGCCTCTCTTCAGGGCCCTTGCAAGAAAACAATGAGAAAGCACAGATGGCTCTGAAAGCATGAGAGAAAAGCTGTGAAAAAAGCAAGACTCTAGTGAGGGAAAAAAACGTGCTGCAAGAAATAGTCAGCCACATGATGGAAAAAGTATTAAAGATACCTGTGTAGCTCTCAAGTTAGTCATGTGAATCAAAGCAAAAGATCTTATCAAAAATATTCTCAAACTGACAAATTCCCTGTTGTATTCAAGACTGAATCATTTATTGTGACAACAAAGTATTGTGCCAAATTTCCTCAAAGCAGTAGAAAAGGCCTTGCACATTTGCCAGCATTAAATTGTGTCTCTGGAAGATACTCCTCTGGAAGCTAGTGACTCCTAAGTAAAAAATCTTAATGTTTTAATCTTTTTTCTTCCCACTTGGTGCTGCTTACCTTCTGAGCAGCCCCAAAGCACAAGCCAGAGAGTGTAGGAATGGATCAGACCAAACATGTGTCTCTGCCAGCATCCATCTTCAGCAATGACCACAGCACATGCTTGAGGCAGGGTATGAAAGCAGAGCACGCAGGTAGTCATGGTTCCTCGGTGCACTTTCAACCTCCCAGCACTTTCCAAATAACAGTAGCTCAAGTTCTCTACACTACAAACTGACAGCAGCTTTTTAACGTGGAAAGTGGTTCACAGAGTACAATGCAAAGACACATGTATTTGTTTAGGTATTGCACACAGTGTTGAAATAATCCCCCAGACAAAGTTATCAGCATTTCCTTTGATAGCTTCAAACACTATTTTGCAAAAAACAACTTAATCATCTGCTTCTCTACAATGTCAAAATAATAAAAACTAACTCAAAAAGAAGAACAGAAAAACCTGTAAGATACCTACTTCAAAATAGCGACCTAAGGCGTCTTCCTCTTTCTCTCAGGAAGAGTTAGGAAAATAGTTACATAAAGTATCTGAGAGGTCAGCAATTCAGGAGTTTGATGCTTCAGAAGATAAAATAAAACACATTTTTCACATTTTCTTACACAGGTTTTTAATTTCATTTTTTTAAATTTGCTGAACTATTTTTCTCGGTCCTTACTCGTGCCAAAACCGGTGATTTTTAGCATCAGTTATAATGTGGGTATATGTGCTAGGCTCAATTCTGGTCCCACTGCTGTTGGTTTAAGACCAACCTTTTCCTTCTCCCTTGATTATTTGGATGTAAATAAGAGCAGAATTAGATCCAGAGAGACTTTGGATGTGGGTAAGGGAAAATCAATGTGTTTTTAAAAAATAACAATGAACAGAGCCATCATTATCTTGCAATGAAGTAACAAATCAATTGATCCTCCTGTAGGTGATGGACGGCAGGTGCCACAAAAGCCTCCTAGGGGCACCACTCGTGGTCCCCCCCAGTTAGTGATCCCCCCACCCCCACCTTACCCTCCTCCTGGCACTGACATTGTGGATCCAACAGTGTGTTACAGAGAAGCAGATGTTACAGCACCAACAGAGCTGGTACCTAAACGTATGTTTGAAAATATATGTACTTGCATTTCCATTCTTTTGATGATTACTGTCAGGGGTAGCTTTTCCAGACTTTCCTCTCTGCTCTTTAGATATCCATTTCTGTTTTTCCCCCTTTCTCCCACCTGTTGTCTTTCAAAATGTCCAATGCAGTGTAACTAATTAATATAAACAAAACACTTGTTTGGAGAGAGTTTTGCACATGATGCCTGGTCATTGTACAGAAGCATTTTAAAATAACCATCAAGCTTTGCAGCTTTGTTCAACTGAAAAAAAAAAACAAAAAAAAAAAACAAAAAAAACCTGTTGTCTTGTATTAATTTCCCAAGTTTATTTTTCTGTACTAACAATTTTTTTGTCACCCCAGAGACAAGTTCCTTTGAGAGTCAATGGGTCTATCAGTCTAGGTTGAAAACTACAGTGTCTTCCTTAAGAAAATTAAACCATTTACAGAAGCTGTATATTGTTAAAGGCCTTCCTGTCCTAATGGATACATCTTTCTTGGCATCTCTGGGTAGTCCTTTGTGTGCTTTTCACCTTGGGGCATTGCAGTTATCAGACAAAGAAGTACAATATTTTTCACAGCCCCGTGTACTTGTGAAAAGCATGTTTTCATACTGCTTTTCCGTGCTTATCCATTGACTGCCTTTAAATCTTTGTACACAATCCAAGTCTTTGATCATGTATTATGTTCCCTGTGGGCTTGCCCTGCACACCCATGTAGAGCCAGTAAAAGCAGCAAAGCTCTGCACGTTATGACATCTCATGGATGCACTTCCTTTGAAGACTAGGAGGGTGTCTCCTAACCATGGGATAGAGAAATGTCTCCATTAGCTACTAATTTGACAGAAGGTCTCTTTCCAGGACCTTATTTTTACTAAAAGTATTCTGCAGGTTGCAGTTACTCTGATACATTCATGTGGATGTGCTTGCTGTTGCTAAATCTAAAGCATTATATTTCAAATCTGTGCTGAGGAAAGTACACATTGGTAAATTTTATTGGAGTTAATGATGGAAATTGAGGAGATCATACTAACAGAAAACCTGAATCTTATTGAGGATTAATCCTAAGGCAACTTTACCAGCTTATAGACAGAAATCATATTATACTTAAAATCTTCTTTTTGTTCTAGATACCATCAGCTTGTGTACAATGTTTTCTTTATTAAAAATCCATTGTGGCCTTCTTTGCATTAATATTTCTGCTTCATTTGAGTTTCTATCACTGTTATTTTGCAATGCTTCCCTGATCTACCTTGCTGATCAAATACCCTTTAATCAATGCAGTCCTGATGCAATCAGTGAGATCGTTTGCTCTTAAACAAACACAGTATCTCAGCCAAAAGGATTTGATTAAGCTTGTACATAGAAGCATAACATGAGTTTTTATTGTCCTCAATTTACAGAGAGCAAGAGCTTAGTGGGTACTTACTTTAGACTTAAAGCATCAGTGTTGGCGAGGGACAAGTTTTAGCTCTGTAATTATGCTTTGTCCTACCTAAATAAAGATAAGTGTGTAGATTTACACAGGAGAAGCGTGTGCAGATGTACCCATGAGAGACAGCAGCACGTAGGACAGATGCTAATTACATTGCCTAATGCCATTCTGAAAGGTGCTTAGATACCGTAGTGATTGAGCTGTGCAAGAACATTTTGCAACAATGTGTTTTATTGCCTGAGAATGCCTCAAGCAGTGCAAATAAGATTTGGGCGGTAGATTCAAAGAACAACAAAATTTTCAATCTTCCTAACTCTAACCTCAGTAAATGTGTTTTCTCATAGAATAAGGTGGGGAGGAGGATAAACTACTGATGCCAGCTGTTGATAAAAGACATGTTTTTTCTGAAATCACTCTCAAAACAGCTTTCTCTGATAACAATTGTGGTCTTCCTTTGCTGGGTGGGTGACTGTCAGCAGCAGTATG